GCGCACTCTCGCGAGAGTCCTGCGACCGGCATGCGCAAAGGAGGGTATGTTACGGTTTCGGGTTGTGGCTAGGGATTGGGGGCCCAAAGCTACGCATCATGACACTGCTTCTAAACTCCAGCAACTCGTCCGCAAATGCGAAACCTCGAGCCAAAAGCTTGCGATGCTCTGAGCAAGCGTCAGCAAGCTTGAAGAGCTGCCATGCATCTAAACCGCACATGCTTGTGTAATTAACCAACTTCCCAAGCCTCCCAAGCTTCCAACCCCCCAACCACAGAAAGACCCGAACCTTCACATCATCAAACGCTAAATCCCCAATTGCTCTACCATGACTCCCATATCCATCCCATATTTACTTGTCCAAGGCCACCTTGAAAGAGCAGCAAACTCCTGCAACCCTCAAACCTTAAGCACCCAAACCACGCCCCCTCACAATCACCAAAACCCCCCCGAGCACCCCTCAATCCCCCAACCCCCGCACTAAAACCCTTCCAGCAACAAAGAAACCCTCGTAGCTCCTCGGCCTTTTCCGCCCCGCGTCCAGCGGAGGGCCGCAGCACCGGTCTTTTCGATGCTCGGCCGCCTCAGCTTGGGGCTGGGGCTCAAGGTGGGCCTTCCAGGGTTGTATAGGGAGTATATTAGGGAAGGGATATTCCCTAGTAATGGAGAATCAAGCGGAAATGAAATGGAAACTGGCCAACTCTAGTGGCTGGGGCTTAATGGGCAGGCATGTACTGTTTCAGGTGCAGTCCTTACTAGACTAAATCTGCATAAGGGAGCCCCTTCTTCCGAACAATTTACATTTACATCCGTTTACCACCTGACATTGGCTCCCAAGCCCAAACTCCAGAACCTACAGTGCTCCCCCAAGCTCCAAACCCTGATCCTTAAATGACCCAACAAGAACCAAATATGCCTTCTGAGGGCACTGCGCTTTATGGCCACAACGGCCTCAGGGAGGCTGCTGGCAATGACGTACACGCGGTCACCGTCCTGTCAAGCAAGGTCTTACAGACTTCTAGAAATGAAGGCTTGGTGTCTAGCACGTTCCGCTCAAGGTATGGCGCTCAAGTGCTCACACCTGATGGGTGCTTGTTACTGCTTTTTGTTGCTTTCCTCCGTGCCGCTGCCGCTGCCGCTGCCACTGCTGCAGCAACAGATGCTTCTTGCTGGGGCTGCCGCCCCTTGTCCTTATCCTCCTCTTCTTCTACATCCGAGGCATAAAGCCTGTTCAACCGCTAAGTGCTCAGAACTACGCGGATAGACGCAGGCAGGCTTATACCACGGATTAAACCACGAAGCCCTGCTGGGATTGATCAAGTTGGTGCAGGGAGTGCATCCTAAGAAGGCTAGATCTCAAGATTGTAATCTTCCGGCTCTGTCCACGCAAGAGGCGTGGAAGCACGCTAAACTGCGCGCCCTAAGCCTTAACCACTATATCCACCCCCTTCCCTCACAAACCACCTGAAACCCTGTAAGCCTGTAGGGTGGTATCTTGGCCGCCAGGGAACAGCAGAAGCCGTCGCTTCCTGCAGTGGGGCTTGGAGAAGACATGTCGGGGGCATGTAGATAAAGGAGGGCTTCCTCCAGGGAGAAGGTTTTGCCAAAGAATTTGAAATGCCCATGGCATGTAATCTGTCAGATTCAGTGCTGGGGATTTAGGGCAGGAAATGGTCCACTGAAGGTTCTTATAGGATGGAAAAGTACTACTGCTTTGCGAAATGTTTCGAATGGTTCTAATTTGGGTATCATTTTTTCAAAATATGCGGGACCCTTTAAGACTTGCACAGCACGAAGCCCACTACCCACATGCTGTGATAGCAAACAAAGAGTCATGAAGGATTTCTAGAACTAACCGTAGTAGGGAGCTCCCACAACAAAGCCCTTCACGGCTCTCTGATGTCGCAGGTCCGGCCAACCTCCTATATTCCCTAGTTTCCATTTGATTTTCCATGTTCTTTTCCATTTGATTCTCCATTGTAATAGTTTCCAGGTCATTTTCATGTAGTCATGGACGCACGCACTGCAACTTTTTTGACCCTGGGGCCTGACCTTTGGGAGCTCCCTCCAATGAGTACTGATGACTACGGAAATATCTTGACATGAGCAGTGGGGCTGTTCCTCAACATCCAACTTCTAGGCACTTCAAGAAATTACTTTTGAAATCAAATCATGACTGTGCTTCAGCACGTGGCGAAAAATTCTTGGTGTACGGGTTTAGAAGTCACCAATACACTCACTCTTGAGCTTGCGGAATTTTGGTGCAAGCAGGCTTTTCAAAAACCTGTCCTCCCTGCAGCCACCACGTCCCAGGACTGAACATGGAGCCGACTGGATGATTAAACAACAGGAGTCCATATGGGGCCACAACACCCTACATTATCCTGTCATACCTATCCAGCCCCAAGAAATGTCTCAATGTAGCATCATATTCCAGGATGTATTCTTAGAGGGATCGGGTTAAGCCCATGAGCTTCTGCCTCTGCTTGGAGAAGGAACTACTTGGCGTCTCAGCGCCACCAGCACTGCGCTTCACGGCGATGAGGAGCATGTTATGGTTCCTAAGACTTTTGGTGCTTGGGGGAAATTAAGAGAGTAACTTACGAACTGGGGATTACCAGCAGGACATCTCTCATGTAGCTCAGCAAGCGCGACTCTCTTGCGTCCTAAGTACCTCTGCAGGCAGTCAGAACAAATATGATTGTGTGGACCCATTGTATAACTCTAGGTAGTTCGCTCAAACAGCTTCGGTAGCTGAGATAAACAGCTAGTCTGCGCAACGGATGGGAGGCAGTCAAGAAAATGACAATCTACTTCCCTAAAGCCGCAAGCAAAAAGCCTAAGCCTATAGCCCATACCACCAACATGTTGACTTGGCTTGTCTACCTGCCTCTCAAACCAAGGACTCAACAACCACGAACCTTAAAACCCTCATCCTTGATTTTCGCAATTTGAAGCCCCAAAGCCCCAAAACTCTGATCTTTGACCCCTTATGCTCCCACGCCTAATCTCTAAATCCCTAAGCCCTGTTCCCCACAAGCCTTATCCCAATCTGATCCCAGCAAAGAATGTAGGCTACATAAAGCTGCTTCAAGCGGCTCATAAAGGTGGTACGCGGCTTCCACCAAGTTCAGACCATGGATGCCACTCTTCCTGGAGTTTCGGAGTCTCAATGTAGGGCCTCTATTGCTTGAGGATTGCTGAGGGATGCGGCATTGGGGATACATAAGGCTGTCAGACTGGCCCGGCCAGGATTACGGTCAGTCTTGCTACTCCCCCCATGATAACTAGATGTTCTCACCGGGTCCACAACCTCCCGCCCGCTGCAATCTGCCACGTTGAGCCTTACACCGCTGTACTTATCCTACAACGTTTCATTCTATTGGTCTGTTACTGATCTGCCCTCTGTACTTTCAAGTAATCACAGGGATGGGGCTTGGGGTGCAACTTGAGGTTGGGGACTAGGGCTTCAGGCTTCAGCCTTAGGGGTCTACTACCCGACAAGCCGCGAGACCTCTCTTGTGGGTAACTGTTCCATTGGCTTGATATAGCCTTGGGTGACTTGGCTTGCCAGGTAATTCTCGAATGCAAAGGTCACTGAATCATTGCCCCGTTATTGTTGTCTTGTTTTGTGTGTCCTGCAGTGCTTCTTGGTGTATCAGAAATCTAGGTGGAGGTTGGGGATGGTTGCAGGGTGACGGCAAAGTCAAACGAAGCCCTAGACTCTAAAAAAAGCATAGGCGCAACAGTCGTCATTGCTAGTGGAGAGCTGCGATAGCAGGGTTGAACAGCTCTGGGTGGGTAGTGCTGCACGAACAGATTTTGTGCTTCAGCCATGAATTACTGCCAATAACATGGAAGATCCGCCAAAGTCAACGCAAAGCAGGCCACAAGCCACAAGCTCATCCAGGGCACGGCGTGACACTGCAGTGGTAGATTTCCTGCCAATTGCTGCATGACCATGTCTTGGGAAGCTCATGACTTGTCCAATTTATTTGCAACATTCAAAATGTAAATGCCGACTGCCAGGTCGCTTCGCTGTGACATGCCATGTCTACGACACTAGTTTAGATCAGAAACCCTTTTACCATGAGACCTCGGAATCTATACACTGCACCTTGAACCAACCCTATAAAAACGTTGGAAGAGTTCTTGCTGATGCAAATATAATACCAGGAAAACCTGTCATCGTCGTTTAGGCAGCCTTCCATACCGGAGGACCTCAACCCCAACCTCGTCATTAAGACCGCTCGTACCGACTCGACTTGAACTAAGAGCTTTCCAAACTCTTAGCCTATGTCACATGGAACCATGGAAAAACCTCGGTGTAAATACACCCCCGTTACCATCTTCACGGAAGCCCCCAACGCTGGAGACCGCAAGACCCAAGACCCTGCACCAATCGTCGACGAGGGGTATGTAACGCGGTATGTACCAAACTTGAGGACGAAATAACGCGTTGCAATAAAGTCCCTGTTGAAGGGACCACAACATTGGCTCACACCCAAACAAGCTTCTGAAAACGAGCTACACTTGAGGATCTCGGGCTTCTGAAGGAACTATGAGAAAACATAAAACCCCTTCAAACAAGCAAACTCATGAACTTATGCACCATCACGAAAACACCACACAAGGACCCTAGTTCTAAGAAACTGCAAAAAAGAAATCTCCACGTTTGTCATAACTCCCCGAAACCCATGAATTTGAGAATCCTCGATGCTTAGGCCAGCCTGGCGAGAGCCTTTGTGGTACAAGTCAAACCAGCGCCTGTTTGACCAGAGTTTGGCTTTCAGAGCTTGAGGGGCAGGATTCCTTTTTCTGTGCTGAGGATACCGACAGGGTCTAGGGGTGTTTGGGCAGGACTTGCATGTTAGGTACGCGCTTGTGGATGTCTGGAGAATGAATACATGCTGGAGGTCCATGGTCGTCTTCAAATCTTCAGCCTATAGGTAATGCTTGCTGTGGCAGCGGAATTGGTGGCGGTGGAAGAGCAGAAGATGCTAGATCATATTGGCCTTGGCATGCCAGTCGAAAGATAGCAGGTAACCTGGACGAAAAGGTGTCCCACACATGTCTTGGGCCATGGCAAAGCCTGTGCATGCAGCCTTCAGGCCACCCCAAGAGATGCTCCAAACCAGACACAATTCCTGTGCTGGGAAATACATAGGCCATGGGTCAAGATTCAGGAGGAATAGTCAAGGGTTTGTAGGGAAGGTAAGCAATCCCTTTCCAACAGCCATAGAGGATAAAAACTCCCATGCAGTTGTTCGAAAGACCCGAAAGACTAAACATGGAATCCTCCACCTCTTGCAAATCCTGATCCTCATACCTGCAAGCCACCACATACTTCAGGTGCGACCTAAAAACGTTCAAACCCTTGATCTCAACCAAAACCTGAAACAAGCTCAAATTCCAGATCCCACCCGGAACCTCTAGCGAAGCCGTGAATCCTACGCCCCTATTCCTAACATAAAAAGGCCGGAACAATTGCAAACAGCATTCTATATGAGAATGGTTAAGTACCTACCATTTAATCAGCCCAACACCCTTTGACATCAGACAGGCTCCTAAATCAGAGGCTGAAACCTGTGCACTCCCAACGCTCAATCTTTATGTTTCCAACCTCCTTGCGTCCAAAGGGCTCTGTGCTTGTGTCGTAGGCATGGCTCGTGGTGTGACTCACCAGATTCAAGACCTTGGGAAGTGTTTCGAGGCTCAGGATTCAAGAAGGTAAACTTTGAAGCTTCAGGATTTAGGGCTTGGCAAATTCTCCCGAGCTTGAGGTGCAGTTTTTTTTGGTTTTGATTTGAAGGCTTCGGTGTCCCCTTTGGTCCTGTCTTTGGGAGCCAGATGAAGCGAATCCTCATTTTACGAAATGGCCAATTACGGAGCTGGGGGCAGTCCAGAGCAGGAGAGATGCTACTTGAAACCCCATGCCCCGAACGATAGGCGCCCCAACCCCCAAGACCTGAATCCTAAAGAGACAGCCCACTTGGAGCCTCAAAAGCTTTTCCTTTATAAAGAAAGCTCTTGAGAATTCTGTGCAGCTGCCTTTCGAGAGCGAACCCCACATCTTGTACCGGTTGCGAGGTCCTGAACATAGTTCAGGAGCGGCGCTGGACTTTGCCAACACAGCGCAGCCCTCTAAGCCCTTAACCTCGAGAGAAAGAGAGAGTGTGTGAGAGACAGAGTGTTTGAAAGATCGTGCAATTTCCCATACATGTGACGACCACCTCACCTTGTTAACCCCACAGAGAACTACTAAGCCCTGACTCTGACAACCTCACACCCTTTAAGATCCCTACATCATCCCTCCAAGGCCCTCCCACCCGTATAATCCCTGTCAAATCCTAACAACATGCTGCAGATCCAGGCACCATTGTGGAGAGCCCTCGATGCAGCGCCGATCCTGCGATCATTGCCGCTGTCAGCTCTCCAATCACCTGCTTTTCAGAATCTGGACGAAGCGCTTACGATTCAGCACTTGGGGGTTCATAAAGGCTCAGGTGTAGGGTGGCCTGTGTCTCACGGTTCTAGTCAAGCTTCCGTACCATCTTCGCTCGGTCTCTCTGTCTCTCTTTCTCTCTCCCTCTCTCTTTCTCCACATCTCCCTCCCTTGATCTCGCTGCAACGCCTGAAATTCCCACTCAATCGTTGTACTTTCACATGCAAGTTTTCAAGCCAACAAATTCTAGATCCGCACCAGGCAGAGATCGTGGAGCTTGTCCCAGCCAGGCATATTCACGATGCGGTCGCGGGTATCGGCAGACAACACCTGTGCAGTTCTGCGGGGAGGTTTTGGGCTTTGAGGTTTTACAATGCAAGGTTTCAGCTAGGGAGTAGGATTACGGGCACCAGGTTTTACAATTTGATCGCTTTAGGTTTGTGGTGTGCACGCTTTTAACCTGGGATGCTAATGCTGCGCGGCTACATAGAGTCCCTTGACTTTGAAACATCCAAACGCGAATTCGGGCCTGGCAACCCCTAGGTTCATGGCCTGAACGCTGGGGATCCATCCTTGGCTAGCGAGACTCTGGCGCAAAGGGCTGCGACCTTCAGATTGTTGCATGATGGTCTCATCAAAACTAACAGCTCATGAGGACCTATCAGTTCAAGATGCTTTTCTGATTGATTTTTTGATGTTCCATGGACTCATAAAAAGCCCGGAAAACAATCATCGCACTGGGAATTTCTGAATCAACACAGCGCAAATGCAAGGACACACCGTACCAGTACAATGAGCGGCCGCAACGATATGTGAATGGTTATGATACCAAGGACTGCGTCAGAACATGAACTTTGCAGATACTTGTAAAATAACGGGATTTGGGTTGCAAGGATCTGCCGTGCTGTACCTTTATGGGGTTTCTTGCTCAGGACATGAACTCATGTAAGTAGGGGTAGGCTTTTGGAGGCTGCTTGTGGGAAGCATCGCCACGCAGTCCGCATGTGGTCCGTGCAGCCTGCATAGCCCACATACTTTCTAGAGTCTAAAACCTTGGCGCCAGACCCTGAACCCTGAACCATAAACCCTCAACTCCAAACCTCAACTCTCAACCCTGAACTCCAAACATATAATACCCGACCAGAATCCAGACTCAAGATCTTGAAAGAATCAGGAAGAATGATCCTTATCCTAATGTGGTCGACACTAGATCAGATCCAGAATTGCAAGTTGTCCCTGAAACCTAAGTCTGTGGATTCCTTCACGACCCCTCTTGACTACGCTCCCATTGCTGCTGAATTAGCCTTAACAAGCTAAATTTATAAGGAACCAAAAGGCGGATAGCATAAAAGTTGTCATTTAGCGAACCCATAAAGGTGTTTCCGTAGACAAGGCGACCCCAATTTTAAACCCCAAAAAAAAACAAACCCTATTATGGAGACCCCCAAAATGGTACCCCTAATTTTGACAAACCCCCGTGACAAATCTTGCGGCCTGCGCCAGCAGCCGGAGTCTCCGACGCCCTTCGAAGGTCTTCTGGCGATGCAGTTGCCTCAGAGGTGTTTTATGGGTTCCATAGATAGGGGAGCCCCAAAAAGGCAGCTCTTAACTTTTGGAACCCCACTTAGGAGACCCTCGCTGTCAGAAGCCTGGGACTTGACGGGATGATGACAATTATCTCTGCTCCTGTACATTCTGAACAGTAAAGCTGACATAGGTGTCATGGTTGTCATAAGTTATTCTGATCCTTCCTTTTCTTTTTGTCAGATTTAGTGATTCAGTGCCATTGATGGGAGGTTCCCTTGGTGCCATTTGTGCGACCATCGTTGTTGTTCCTGTTGCTGTTGCTGCATCTACGATTCCTGACCGTAATATCCTAGCGGTGGCACGACGTTGCTGCTTGCCTTGAGAGCAGCCATAGGGTTGGGATTGATCCTCAGGGTCCTTGGAAAGGATCTGCGTTTGTGGCTGGAGGACTCAGACGTAAGCTTTGGGATTGTCCTATGTGTTGCGAGCCTGTTTTGTTGTGCTTGAAGTACCCCTGCATGCAAATGCTCTGTACAGGAAACCCTCAAAATGCCCATATATGGCCCAGGATCTAAGGGACACAGGCAATCTTAGCGCAGGAACTAGAGAGTGACAGTGGACGTCCATGAACCTCTCAAATGCCTAGACCCAAAGGCCCCCAATGCAAGAATCGCCTACACTAAACCCTGAACAATTTGACGCAGGACCAAATTGGAGCACAGGAGTGACATGAAATGCAGATTCTATTGTTGGTAGACCAAACCCTACAAGACCCTATATGTACTACAGATGTATATGTGGCAACCATAATATCACAATCGTATGGTCAACTACTAAATTCAAGACAGTTTGCGATGTACTTGCAGGGTCTTCTGGATCGCAGTAAGATTGCATGCTGTTCTTCAAGCTTTCTGCCCTTCATCTGTCTAAGAGGACTTTGTCCCTAAACTGCTCACTCCGCAGCTGCTGAACAATTCAGGCCACTTGCTTCCCTTGCCAAAGATGGAGCCATAGATTTAGCGATTGTTGCGCGAGGCTGTCTGGAAGGACATGAAGACAACCGAGCTTGGATTCGTCAACACTCTTGCTGAACCATTGTCTGCCTACAGACGAGCCTGCATTTGGGTAAAACACAGCCTACTGGCCCCTGGCAAGCAACTACAACTCAGGAAAATCTCTATTGACCTGGACCTTACCGCTTGCCAAACCACAGTCTGGTCATGAAATGAAGGCAGATGTTAGGAGCATATGAGATCAGAAGCGCCCTGCGTCTGTGAAGCTCCCGAAGTTAGGGACTATCTCCTGACCACCTTACTGAGCCTGAAAACAGAAGCCCTTTCAAAAATGGAAGAACCTCTCTGCGTCTAACAAATCTCCGCAAACCCAAGCGGAGCAGTTTCCATGCACTCCAAGAGAAAAAACCTACTCCCTGCAGCGAAAGCCCCAGATAGGCCCGTTGTCGTTCATTTGCAGGCTACAATACACGTTTTGCCTTGAGTGTGGGAGTCCCCCAAAGCTGGGGACCTCAAACCCTGGACTCTGGTGCCAGCTTGGCCACGCATTCTTGAAGGCCTTGCATGCAAGCACGATGGAGGCCACCTTGCCGGTTTGGGTCTTTGGCCCTTCGGCCTTGGGGCTATGAAAGCTCGGGGTTTAGGATCTGGGGTTAGTCAGCGGAGACGTGCATCATGCTTAAAGGTTCATGCCCTCAGTCTGCAGCACCCTGGTTCCCAAAACCCTCAACCATGAACTCCTCAGGCCCAAACCTCTAACCTGCAAAGCCTAAACGGCAAAGCCGTGTGTCTGTAGCGCCTGGGTGTCTTCCCACTGCGGATCTTGAGGATATTTGCCTGAGGCACTGTGGAAATGTCTGGGTCCTCGTCAACACTATGGGCTCTGGACAGAAAGGCACGTAGCACGCTGCGGCAAAATTGAAGCTCAACGTTCCGTTCGCCGAGCTTCTGATAACATGCTTCCTACAATTTGCGCTAAAGTTTATCGATGACATGTGGGGCCTAAGAATGTGAAAGCTAATGCTTCATATGAGGACTGCAAATTGTCTGTAGCGCTGCTAACTACACTCCATCCAACGAACTCGAAACACCAACAGAAGTCATACCAAGACTACTGCCCTGGTGGACTCCCGCCTTGAATCCAAATCAGGCACTCTTGCCGCAGGCGCTAAACTACGCTAATGCATGCTTTTGCTCTGGTCCCACTGTGCCTAAGGCCCTGATACCACTACAAGGTCTCATCAGGCGGAACTGGAAATCGACGAGACCCTGCACCACGAACTATTGCAATTTTTGCAGGGTAAGCAAGAAAAAAGATGACATGCCCTAATACCCTGCAACAAGCATCCCCATCCATCCTCAATGGCAAGCACCCAACACTAAACCTTGAATAGTCCTTGCAAAATCCCATCAGTCAGCCCTTTTTGAGGTTCTTAGCTTCCGTCGGGCAGCAAGCCAAAACCAGAACCGCCATGGCCTCGTGTACCTTCAGGAAACTTATCTCCACTGGCTTGCTGCTGAGGACTTTGAATCAACTTTCTTTGCCGGCTTTCCTTGACGAAGGTTACAAGGCCTGTGATTTTCTATATATCCACATTACGGCTACAGTTTCTTAACCCCCACACATCCACTTATACCAAAATTATATAGGCACCTTAGATTCATTCTATTATAGACGGTTCCTGGGCGGGGGAAATACTTCAGCTTTGAGCTTTGGGCTGCATGGGTTGCGGGCTCAAAGCTTTGGGCTTTAGGGATTAGGGCACAGAGTTCTAGGGTTTGGGGGGTTAGGTGGGATCCAGGGCTCTGGGTTGAGGGCTTTATAGCTCCAGCAGGGCGGAGGTTTGATCAGGGATGCAATGTGTTCACTTTCCTTGGTGTTTGGGGCTCTGGGCTTTCTTCTCAACTCAACGTCTCAAAATCATCATGCCAAAAGCTCGCAGAACTGAGGCCTGCAGTTTTTGGTGCTGCCGTATGGGGTTGAAGTCGGCGGTTTGGGGCTTGGTGTTTGCTTCGGTTTGAGGCTGAGGATCTTAGGGTACATAACCTGAATGGACAAGAAAATGGAAGCTGCTATACTGGAGAATCAAATGGAACAGAAGATGGAAAATGACATGGGAAACTGAAACCTGACCTCCAAAACCCTTTGACCTCAGAATCGTCGAATCTAAAATCCCAAGCACCAATGCCTTCTCGAGCTTTGAATACACCCACAGCTACCATACTGGCAACAAAAGGTTCACTGTGTTCCCACATCTCAAAACCTTTTCTCTCGAAATTCCCCTAAAGCCTAAAACCATGGCTGAAATCAATCCGCAAAAAGAGTCCAAGTCCCACTCCACCATAAAATCCTAAACTCCAAATCCTACATCCCAAGACCAAGCCTAAACTCTGATCTCTGAACCCCAGTGGTGCCTTGGCTCTCAACAAATCCTTCTCGACTTGTGAGGAGCCCTGACCAAAGTGCAGAGTTGTTCAGAGTTTTTAGGCCTCAGGGTGTAAGGACCTAGGTTTTAAAGTTTAAGGTGTTGAGTTTAGGGCTCAAAGTTTGGAGTTCAAGGTTCAGAGACCAAGGCTTCGGGGCTAACCTAGAAACTCAGTATGTATCAAGTGTCACCCTTTGAATAAGCATAGCGGATGCTCTGCTTTGAAGGTCCTTGACAAAAATCTGACGGCAGGCTTCCCACGTTCCTGAAAGCATCTCGACACGTCACACCCACAGATACACGCTTCGACCCAAAACTCAAATCCAAAACCTGAAGCCCAAAGAAGCCAGTACTCGCTCCTGGATGTACTGCACATGGCCAGTGTAGGCAGGGTGCCCCAGCAAGTCTAACGTCCTCAGCACGTGCGGCAATGAGCTTGGGATTTACGGTGCCCAAGCACCTGTTTTGCTAAGAACGCCCTTCCTGCAATGGGCATGACCCAGGTTCACTTTTTCTCAGGGCTCTCATTGCTTTTGGGAAGCATTTGCCAATGGCCCACTTCTCGAAGTTGAGCTCTCTCTGTCCGTAGTGACTACTGACAGAATATGGACTGCAAGAGTGTAGGCTTATTTTGCCAAAAAACTGAACATCAACGAAACAATCCAAAGGATGACATTACACAGAACCATCACAAATCATGCAAATACGATTTTATACTCATGGAAACCCTCATGATAGTAGTCATACCAATATCGGACTATTAACACTATGGAAAAACACGGCAAGTCCTAAGTTCTTAGCAAATTCATGTTGGATCGATAGCCAGCGTCTGACACGGCACATGAAACATACACTAGCTCTCCACAAGCACGACGAAGAATATGAAGAATCAGTGTGTCATGTTGAATAACAAAGGTTGTAATCCGCGATGCACGAATCTCACTAAGTAAAGGCAAAAGATCGCTACACAGATTTGAAGCCCCAAAGTCCACAACCTCAAACCTATCCTAAAGGAGGGTCTCATCTCTCCTAAAGGAGGGAACCCTGAAGAAACTTACAAATCTCATGATCACCTCACGAAGAAGCGTTGGCGCCTGAAGGTGCACCTTTAATTACACGTGTCAAAGCCTAAAACCAATGTTTTCGTGTCTGTGAGGGGAGCCAGCGAAGATGACCTGAAGCCTCGCTCGCAAAGCACAGTGTGAATCTCGAGCCTGGAAACCCTACTCCACAGCAATGCGAGTAGAGCAATACGAGGCAATACACGCTGAACCCTAAATCCATGATCCTCTAACCCTCAACCCTAATCTTGAACCCTAAACTGAAGCCTCAAGCTCCAGAGCCCCAAAGCCATAAACCCATAATCCAGTAAACCCCTCCAACCTCCTCCACCCATACACCCCTAAACCCATATCCCCGAACACATAAACCCTAAGCCCTTTCTAGACCCCTTGATGCGGCCGCATTTCTGGTGATCCGGTTCATTAGGTGACCTGAGCCAGAAGCAAGCGTATCCTTTTTTGGGGACTGCCGGGGGGGCGGGGGTTGGGTGTGAGAATTAGGGTTCATTGGGAACTGCGAGAAATTGGGTGCAAGGACTATAGGGTCCAGGAGCTTAGGATTCGGGATGTGGAGAGTTTAGGGAGTTTAAGGTCTGATGCTTTTGCTTGGGCCTACCGGTGGGGTAGTCATTGTGTTAGATTAGATAGGGTGCATGGGAGATATCCGTGATTTGGCAGACTTGTAAGCCTTCTCAGCATGAAGGGGACCATCCTTGTTTTGGGTTTCGGATCAAGCTTCTGAAGACTTTAGAGATTGGGGATCCGATTTTGCGGTTTGGTTGAGTTTGGTAAGGCTTCGAGATGCAAGCGGCACACAGCTGAGGCCAAACCGCACACAGCTGTTGCTGACACCCCCTTGCCTGCAGGACTGCATATGCCCAAAATCCTAAATGCTGATAAACATTGCTCCAAGGGGACCCCAATGAGATTTCCAACTGCAAAGTACGGAGTGAAGATAAATAGCAATCGTATTCTGTCAACATCATTGCGATACTTTGCGGAGAAATCCTCACATAGCCCAGCGGCAGGATGACGATGTCGCACGGCCGGGCAGGGCCCCGATCGGGATGGTAGGCCTGGAGCACATAGGCTGTCCGCTTTGCAGGCCCTTCGGGTGAAGGGTTACTGGTTGAAGGGTAAGGAACAGGGTTGACTGCCAAGGGTCTGGGAGCTAGACTTACAAGTTAAGGGTCCATGGCAAAGTAGGGATGTGAAGGGGCTGTCAAAGATGCAAGGCTTCTCAAAACAAGGGCACCCTGAAGAATGTATAGGAATTAGTTGTCTGGGATGAGCCTGAACTCTTTGTTTCTGCTTGCAGGCGTCTTGCTGAAAGCAGGAGAGCCGACCATGCGCTCCTCGTAGTCATCCATATCTTCCTCCTGCCTGAGCCTGCTCCACTCCGCCTTCCCTCCCGAAGCGGATCCTAAAGACTAGTACATTTCCGCAGTTCAGAAAAAGTCAGAGCCCAGAAAGTGGAAAGCGCACCTTGCTCAGCCAGCAAGCTTCTGCTAACAGTAGAAGATATCAATTGCATGCTTGTGGCTACCTCCAAGCATCAAGCCTGATACCTTAGGTCGGGCCCCCACCCGCTACCTAGTGACCACCAGAAATGATGGTAGTCAAGTTGATGTCCCCATGGCCATTTCCCCTACAAGGCGGGACCCCAGGATACTAAAATCCTTCTTATGGGAACCCTGGTACGCATAATTTTGAGAAAATCCAACTTTGCCACTATTAGCAGTGGCCTCGTAGAGCAGGAGGTTGAGAACAGGAAACTCCACGTGGCCCATGATGACCTGGCTTAGGGTTCATGACCCTACAATGACTAGGCCTTCTGAATATTCTGTGATCATCCTGGCTGGGCCTAGAATAAGAACAGTATTCTCAGTTACTTTGGGGTTCTGCTAGAATGAAAATGAAAAATGAATCCTGAGGCTACATATCACGAGGTTCCCTGCTTCTTTGGGGAAAGCAACTTCGGGGATGCCCTCAAGTTGATGCTGAACATCATGAAATAGTCCTTGGCAAAAGGAGGCCCAAATATGGTATGGGTCCTTGGGAGTTGGGGAGCAACAGTTCAGGGAAATTCTGATGCAGCCAGTAGGGGTAGTGCCTTGGCAATAGAAAGGTTAGCAGATTAGGGCCCAAAGTGCAACTGATTGATAACCCATCTGCGACAAAAAACAATGACATTGGTCTTGGTCCGTTTGGGCTTCTGCGAGCCTGAACCCTAAACTTCACTGAACTTCACATAAGGGCTTTCTGGGCCACCATGATATCGAACAAGCTCTGAATTTGGTTAACTAGCTAGTCGCCATGGTTGGGATGTCTCGAGACTTGGCTCAATTAACTCAAGGTTGGTGCTGAGACGTAATTTGGCAAACGCACGTCCACTGCACTGGGGTTGCTACGATGTGCGCATCGCTCATGCGTCTGTACTTGGTCCTTCCATCCAGAATCTACTTGCATTTTAGGGATTTGAGCGGTTAGGAGCTTCAAGGGTTTCATGCTTGGGACTCGGAGGGTTTCCGGATCGCTTGTACTGCAATCATATGCAGCCATGACTACCCAGACTACCACAGACCGAAAACCCTCTTGGTGCTACTTCCAGTTTTGGTGGAACGGTGCTCCAGCTAGTTGACTGCTTGGGTTTGGCTACCATGTATTGTTGGCCCCTGAAAGTCAGAAAACAAGCAATCCAAGAAACGAGACGGAGCCTTCTGTGTGGACCTTAGGCTATCGCTACAGTTCCAACAATACGCGCTGCAACCCCCAAGTACAATCTGATGCGCGGCAGGCTTCTGCTCAACCTGGACAAGGCAGGCCCTGTGTCAGGGGCGCATCGTTTGAACTTGAACCCTTGGTTCGGGCAGGGCAGAAAGGAGTCCCTGCAGTGTTTGCCGACTCACTGCGGACGTGGGCAAGGAGGCTATAACACGCAGTGTTCAAGATGTTTGGGGAAACCCAAAACGCCTGGCATGTCTTCAGAATCATACGACATCATACAAAGCAAGCAAACCCTATAGGAATCATGGAGAAATTCCTGGGGGCACTATGCTGTAGTAGCATGGCAAACATGGCAATGCCGAGATGCTCCGGCTGTAGGGCTGGGTCCAAAATCCAAACCCACCCATCTCCCAAATGACAAAATATAGCATAACATAGTAATATGGTACCAATATCAATATCTTTCAAAGGCAATATTTAAAAAATGCTTTGGGTGGGACTTACTTATTCAGCTGGGAGAAGATTAACAAGCTCAAACTCGGCATTCTTGACCCCAAAGCCCAAAACCCTAACCTGTTCGCATCAACCCCCGAAAGCTCTGAAGGCCTGAAACTATAGTCCCCCTTAAGTAGATATTATATGGAATGGACCCATATGATAATAAAATCCCCATATACCCCACATTCTATCTACTTAAGCTTGTCTATCAAACCCCCCCAAGCCCTGGCACTCCTCCGAGCCCAAGGATCTCTCTGGAGAGCCTGGCGAGCAGCTGGCGGTTTAGAGCCCAAAGTGTAGGGCTGGGGTTCTTTGCTTTGAAGGATGAAGGGGGATTTCCAAACAAACCCCCTGAAACTTACAAGTTTCTAGAATCATGCTGGAGCCTTCAAGATTGATGCCGCCTGCCAGGGGATGATGATGAAGGCCACAGTCCTCGTCACAAAGGCTAACCATGATCTGCAGTAGCACTCTACCAATTGCCACAACTTGCATTAACAAAAAGAAGCCTACGAGTCGTTGATATTGTCTTTGCGGTTGCGGTAGCTTTGAAACTGCAGCTGCAGCTGCTGCTCCTCATCCTTCCACTGACACTGGTGCTGCTGCTACGAACTACTACTAATGACAATCAAGATAATGCAGACAATAATTGCAGGCCTGCCACTGCTAGTACTGCCTCAACAACTCGCCACCACAACCACCACATCACCGCCGCCATGACCACGGTTGCCACCACCGCCTG